TCGTTTGCCCTCAAATGTCAAACACACAAAAGCAGCGATGTTTGCCCACTGAGTGAAGGATCTGCACTGTAACACACACAGAACTGAAATGTGTGTGAAAAACACCCTGAAACTTCCACAGCACTCCACTCCATCCTCACTTCCTCTGAAGCGTTTTACGAGCCACAGCTCGTTATCGTTCATCAGGAGATGAATCAGGTTTCTCCAGCTGTTCTTACACAGCCCCTCACTTTAGTTTTATTTGAGCCAGAAAAAAAACAGCCAATCCCAAACTGACTCACTGTTACAGCCAATCAACACGCCCGATAAAAATTTCAGCTCTGATTTTTCGGCACTGTGAGGAGGCGGCAGCAGGCTGGGAAACTCTGGCTCCTGCATCACGTTGACATGAACCTCCTACACCTCCTGACAGCACTGCAAACATCCAGGTGTTCAGCAGGTCTGACCACGGTCCATCCACCTCACGACTCCAGGACCGGACCTGCCTCAGTCTCGCCTTCGCTGAGCTGTGGAGTCCACCACAGCAACGGCGTTTGTCTCTTCAGCTAAATTATCCAATCAGAACACCTGTGTGAGGGGTTAATGTTTACATTTGCATTATTAGGGGCGTGGCCACGCTGACAGGTGTGCGCACAACAGCCTCTGTCAGCATCAGCTGGTGATGGCTGATAAACCAGAGTTCACAAACCAACCACGGTGGTTTGTCCGTCTTCTATTTACAGTCTGTGGCCTACCCGCTGTCTGGAGGCCAGATTCAGCTGAGAAACGGAGCAGCTCCATCACTGAGCCTCGCCCTGCTCCACCCTGTAATTAACCCTGAAATAGAACCTGGTTAAAGTGAGGAGTGGTCACACACACACACACACACAGGAGAGCAACATGGCTGCAGCTTCAGCAGGTGAAACATCTGTTCAGCATCCTCCCGCCCTCAGGTGTACTACAGGTACTGACACACCGACGGAAACACAGATACGAGAAAGGTCACACTGCTCCGACCTCTGACCCTCCACAGAGCCCCTCGAGTGTAAGCAGGCTGTGAGCGAGCTCACCTGGGCAGTCTTCGGCCCTCCCGGGGCCGCAGTCCACACCGCTGCGGTGGAACGAGCTCCGGACGGCGGGGAGAACCAGCAGCACCAGCAGGCAGCAGAAGCAGGAGACCCGGAGCTCTGGAGCCATGATGGAGGACGGAGGGGGGAGAACGGGGGAGGCTGGTGTGCGCGCAGGGAGGTGGATGAACACAAAGAGACACAAACTGGAGTAAAAGAATCTGTCGTGTTTTTCTGGGTCCTCCTTCACTAAGTCCTCACAGCACAAATCCACGCAGCGGGTTCTGATCCACGCACAGCTCACAGATTCCGTCCATGTGCTCCTCACCTCGG